TATTTCTTGAAAAGCTCATTCTTAACCTGCATTTTTGCGGAGAGACCACTTTCAAGCGTTCTTGGAACCGCAAAGCGGAGTGCGTGTCTTGGATGTAGTTGGGAGGACGACTTTTTGGCTCAAGTCGTGAGTATTAAGCCTCCCGTGTCCGTCCACGGCTCTCACCATTCTGACCGGGTTCTATTTTGTGACCAGGTTCTATCCGGGTTTTGTTTTCTCGGCCTCCCACGGAGACGTTTCACTTCAGTCTCACCGACACTGGCCAGAAACGGGAAAGAAGGAAGATCCCCGAAACAAGAAAGTCATTTCTGGCATCGGGGCTGCCCAGTTGGTGTCTAGAGTGCAGTGTTTCACCTTCAGGCGTCTCACCCAGCAAGGCCCCGTGAGCTTGCAAATCTTTTATGCTATTTTCTAGTGTTTCATCTCGCCCGGCAATGGCTGCAGATTGCATGTTTCTTTCAACAGCACGCCGCACTGCTTTGCGCAAGCCGCAAACATGTCACATTGCTTCCTTTCCAGCTGGTTTTACTTATGCTTGCTTCATGCAGTCTTGCGCTTCCCGGGTTGATGGTGTAAAATTCCATCCATCAACCTCTTAGTTGCTTTTGCTTCGCTGGGCTTTCGCTCTTGACTGTGGGCGATTCGGCACTTCTCGGAAAGCGACCGTGGCAGAGACTTTTCCGGGATTACCGCCCTAGCAAGCACCACTTTTGTCAGTAGAACTCTCAACTCCCACAAAACACTCACAGTTTGTCTCTTTCTTATGCAACCACTCCATCCAACAGCGCAGCTTGAGCTGCTGCAGACTCATGGACAATGACAGCAACAATTTTCTGCAGTTTATAAAGCTATGAAATCGAGCAAGCCAAACAGAAGATATTCCCGCGACAGTACGGACCGGGGTTAGGGTTTGGATAAACCCCAATCCAAACCTGCGCACCGGGTCGGGTTCGGGTAAATCCAACGGCGAGCTTTGGGGTTTCTCCAACCGGGTTAACCCCAACCCTAACACCCGGGTTGGGGTTCGGGTGTACCCCAACCTTGTTGGCCCCCCTCTCCCAGCTGAAGACCGAAGTTGTAGCAAAGTTCAACCCCAACATCCAACCCACCTCCTGTGGAGTATGCTCCCCCTGACCAGCAAGGTGGCTCAGCTGAGCCTCGTGGAGCCCATCATTTTGGTGTGCGGGCCGCTCTGATGCTGCACACGTGCTGTGCGTGCCGCCTCCATGCTGCTGCCGACTGCCACCGAGCTGCCGTTGTGATTGTGTGAGTGCCGCTGCTGCCTGCATGCACTGCCAACCTGCTTCAGCCTGGACGACTTCTCAGGAACGAGCGGGGAACAATGAGGAACCTGCACTGCTGGGTGCTTGGATATTGATCGGATGGATCATGTGTTTGGTATTATTGCAAGGACGTTTTCTTTTGCTGCTTTTCGCTGCGTTGCTTTCCATTGCCGGACCGATGATTGTTCAATCGGGATGATGGCAATGGATGTGCAGTTATATAGTCGCAGCTGCATTTGAAAGCCAAAAGAACTAAGCCGATTGTGCAGTGGGATTCTGAGCGTCACATGTACGCGCACATTCTGGCCGAGCGCCGATTTAAATGTTCAGCAATTCAGTTGCACATGAAGTGATTGTTTGATTTTTGTCGACGTAGCATTGAATGCTAGGTCCAAGGAGCCGTGTGAGCTGACGTTGTCATTTGACCATTGCTCCTGGACCCTATGTGGTAATTGACCACTCGACACATTGGCTCAAATCGCTCTGGAAAGATTCCTGACCGAATGATTGCGTTCTGAAGCCGACTGCATTCTTGACTGAGCATTCGCTTGTTGATTGCACTGTGCATTCCGGAAGAGCTTGGAAAACGTCCATTGAATTTTTCATCCCCCCTTCGTCCTCACCTTCGAAGCCTTCATCCTCACCTTCGAAGCCTTCTACGGGATCCAGCCCCGGCTCTTTCCACCCTTCGGCTTGCAGTGCCGGAGCTGAATTCTTTTATCGCATGCGTGTTCGCAACTACTTACCACAACAAAAGACGAGGTGTCGAAACATGCATTCTAATCTGCAGTGAGAGAGAGAAAAATGGAAAATGCAATGCTAACGCTTTCTTTATTTTGCACTGGGGGCATCACTATCAAAAGTTCACATCAGATCAATCTACAGACTTGTCTAATCTTCCTGCAGTGTGTCCAACAATTTCGACAAGCCTTCCTTCAAGATGTAATTCCGGCATCCCTTAATCAAGATCAATGGCATCGAAGAAGGGAAGCCACTTTATCCTGTTGAACGAACGGAGCTTCGACGTGTCTCCCTTGGAACGAGCATCTGCGGGGTTCGACGTGTTGGCTACCCGCTCGAACCAACAGTTGATGTCGTGCTCTTCTTCGAAGGCTGCAAGTTTTGTCAAGAGGCCCCTGACCACTCGGGCGTCTGAGCGGCGTCTGACTTGGATTTGATCAATGCCGACACTGCAACTTGGTTGTCGCAGAAAACAACAAGGTCAACATGGTGCAGTTTATGGCACAGAAGGATGATTCCTGAATCGCCGCAAAGGCTTCCATTTCATAAATGAAGCCGTTCTTGTCCTCCACGTTGAGTTGGCTGACAAGTTCGGCATCCGCTTCCTCAGCAAACTAATTCACCAGCAAGCCGTTCAGGAAATTGTTACGCCACGCAACAACACAAGGCTACAGCTTCTTGAGTGTGTAAAGCACAGCGAATAGGTAAAACACAGCTCAAGGAGTTAAGCAGGCTCGACGAAGACTGTGCTCTCGACCAGCTTTTGTTTCGGCTTGCCGGAAAGACGACTGCAGCTCCAGAGTAGAAGAGCCGGTTAGATCTTTGGTTAAAGCGGGACTCGAAAGCAAAGCCGCTGTGCAGTCGGTCGCAAAAGCCCGCATCGCAGCACACATGTTGAAGCAACAGCGTACAAGTATGGAATACGTAACAAGCAAAGATAGCAGAGTAAAGCGGGCAGCGATCGTACAGCGTACAGCTGAGAAAGCTTGCGTGTAGCCCGTGAGGGTGGGCGGGTAAAAAATTCTGTGGCAAAGCAAAGCTGTTGTTGCATGTGTCTTTGGTCGAAAGCGGGTGCGACGGGCAATATGCAAGCCAACAAACACTTCCACAAACCGCGGAACACATGGCAAACTGCAGTTTTTTGCCAGCAGTGTTGATTGGTAGTCGCATGCCGCATGCCCATGCTAGTCCAGTTGTGGGGTCGGAACTGCAGGTCGATTTTTTTTGCCATCTTTCGGATGCATGTGGCCGTGTAACAAGGCTGGAAAACGCTGCCGTGACTTGCGATTTTTTGGGTTGTTTGATGTTGGAAGTAAGAAGGTTCTGGTAGGACTCCGATCAGGGCTGCTTGTCGATTGACTCTCAATGCTTCAGCCGCGGCTAATGGTTGTAACTCACGGTGCACGATGGCTTGCCGTCCAAAGCTCGCCGTGTGATGCATTGAGAAGTGTTGCTAGACAGGCACATGCTACCCCAGCATGCAGCACCATGTTTAACGTTGAAGTGAGCTGCTGTCTGTGTCCCGTCAACCGATCAGCTTTGTCATTGCTAATGGCTGGCTCTACCCGCTCCGCAGAAGAGGTGCCGAGGGGATTCTCCGTGAGACGCTGCTGCCGCTGTAGATTATAACCCTTGCCGGTCGTGGAACTTTGATTCCAGGAAAATGCATCTTTTCAATGTCGTACAAACTGAAGCATACATTCTTCGGAGAACATCACGCCCCGTCAAAGTATTCTGAATGGCCACAAGTTTTGACGCGTAGTTTTTCTGAGATTCGCCCCTGACCCGCCGTCAGACCACACAGGTTGTAGCTTCAACGCAACTTGCCCAGAGTCCCAGAGGCTTCAGCGTTTGACCGAGACGCTCCGAGTGCCTTGGGAGCCCTTGTGGCTTCGACTCGGGAAGGCCACTTGGAGGTTCATGGGTAGTTATAGGTGGGGTTATAAGTCCCCTAAAATGGGTTATAATCAAAGTTACCCTACTAAAAGCCCTACTTATAACTACCCATGAACCTCCAAGCAGGGTCAAGCCGCGGGTTTGTCTTTCAAACTCAGTCGCGGCGCGGGGTCTGTCCGAAGACAAACTTCGGGTCACATGGAGTAGGACTTAGAGTTTAGTTTTTGAATCCCTATATGGCTCAACAGGAACAGTGGTCACTGCGTGTTTTTCGCATTCTTCGCTGCATTCTTGGCTTGCCAGCTCTTTTTTTGGAAGACGGAAGTTGCCTTGGCAGATTGTGCAGGCTGTGCAGGTCTCCGGAAGCCAGTTGCCCCTGCACTTCTGAGGCGGAGCCGGCGATTTGTCACATGGCTTTCCTGATTGTAGACACGAGATCGGCATTACCAGGAAACGCCTGTGTATGCAGAGAATAGGATGCGTTTTGCAGTGCAGACTGAAGTAGCCTCGCTTGTTGAGGCATCATAGTGTACACGCTTGCTCTTAGAAATGCTTCTTGCGCCAGCTCCACCGACCCGGGTTTGGAGGCACAGCGCGTTGTCTTGTAGGAAGCATCGGGTCTCGACGCAGATGCAACTCGTAAAGGTCCACTTCATATATCCTCATATTTTGGCTTGCCTGGTTGTTTGTCGATGTTGTGGCAAAGGCCAGAGGTGACTGTTCGTTCTCAGAACTTATGAAGTCCCTTCTCTTGCTTGTCTGCCTGCACCAGTCGCCAGGTGGTCTGTACAATTCGCATCTCCACGAAGAGTTGTTGCAGAGTGTCAAACGTTATCTCTTTCCGAATTCTGCGACTGTCCCAAAGTGCACAGAAGTATTATTGAAGCAAGGCGGTACTCCCGACACCAGATATCCCGTGAGCCTGAGTGGCGTGCATGAACGAGATGCCCTTTCTAAATTCACTTCTGCAGACCACTGACGCGCATTCACCGAGTCTTCTGTTCGACGTGCTTTGCACTGTTAGCAGAATCTAGCATGTTTGCACGAACTCGCCGAACTCGCCCTTCCCTCTCCTTTCAGGTGCTCCTTCGCAGTTCTCTGGCTCGGCTGGAGGCCCGCGTGCGGGCCCTCGAGGCAGCGGGGGGGCCTCCCCCAAAAGAGGGAACCCGAGAGACTCCGAGCCCCCCAAACCACACGGCGCGGTTGCAGGGCCAGGGCGTACGCTCGGATCGCCGTGCTGCAGAGCTGGCGGGACTTGCGCAGGCCCTTTCTGTTTTTGAGGAGCCTGCACCCTGGCTGCCATGCGGTTCTGTGTTGATATGGAAGCTATGTGGCATTGGCGGGGAGGCTCTCATAACTAACACGGCATTGGCATGGCTCGGGGGCCAAAGCGATGCGGTTTTTATTTTCAGCAAGTCCCAAATTCTTTTTGACGCGTCGAGCGACGAGCTCAAAAGAGGCGTCGTAGCATCCATCTGCACAGCTAGCTGCGTTCGTGCCCGAAGCCCCGGAAGCCTCGACACTGACGCTGAAGCCTGATCCTTAGCGCTCGCGGCTTGCGTGCCCACAGCGGCTGTCAGGCACTTACCGAAGAGCAGCGCACGCTGTTGATCCGGCTGGATCGGCTCGAGGCTCGCTTGGTCGGTCCCGGACGGTCCTGGGTCAGCGCAGGGTGTTGTTTTAGGGATTTTGAGGTGTCACGCAGTGATGCTCTCCGGCTTTCATTGCCGTGCAAAGGAGCAGATGAAGCCCTGGCAGCAAAAGGAGGCTCAGGCACATTCATGTGTGAGCAGCTGTCAGCCGAAGTTCCAGACACCGAAGATGAGATGGCACACGAAAGCCCTTCGAGACGACAGGATAGTGGGTTCAAGACAGATTGTATGATGGTCTCCCTGTTCTCGGCACCCTTTCAACAAACTGAGAAGTTTGCAGAGAGCGGCAGGTTCAAGCCGCACAGGCCTTGCTGCACAAGAGTTGCTAAGAGCACGGCCAGAGCCACTGTCCAGAAACAAAACACGGCAGCGGCCACGACCCCCGCCAGAAGCTACAGACGTCAGCTACAATCAGGCACTGCTGCTGCTGCTGCTGCTGCTGCTGCTGCTGCTGCTGGCAACACCACCAATATCACCAACGACATCACCAACATCAGCAACACAGCCAACACCACCAAGAGCTACGGACACCACCATCACTGCTATCTTCGCCGCGGCAGCCACCGCCAAGACGGTGCTACCACCAAGACGGCGCTACTGCTATCAACACCACCACCGCAATGACCACCACCGCCACCGCCACCGCCACCGCCACTGCCACCTTTGCCACAGCGCCTACCAACACGACGAGATCATCTACACGAATGGCACATCTTCCACAACAAGCACCGACAGCGACAAAAGCAACCACTGCCACAGTGACGACCATGACCACGGCAACATGGACCTAAAGGTGTTCGAGAGGGTGAGGATGTGACTCATATCCCGAGCTGGGGCACTTGCAAGGATGATAGCATTGCTCACAACGTGAGAGCCAAGCCCAACATCTTTAAGCCTTGCTTGGGCATTTGTTGAAACCTGCCTGCTGTAGATGAGAGGATTCGTTAAGAGCCTCAGCTGGTTCTCAGATAAGTTGGAGGTGCAGAGGGAAGCGTCCGTACTAAAGCAACGAACGCAAGCAGAAGGTCGTAGCCTGCAGGAGGCCTGTTTCAAACTAATTGCCGTCACCGTCGTTGTGTCTTCGCCTGCTGGAATCACCGCAACTGCTTTCAGCATTGAAGGCTCCGGAGGAACGCCTTTCGCGCCTGGAGCGGGAACAGCGTGCAGCAGCACTAGAGCTCAGGCGTGTCAAGGGAGGAAGCACGAGCACGTGCTGGTGTCCGCAGAGTGGTGTGGTAGTAGCGAGACAGATGGGAAATCGGAAGTTTTTCTGGTGACGGACTTCGGTCAACTCCGGCCGACCCATGCAAGCGTTCTACAGACCAACAACATCCCGCACACATCTGGCTCCCCAGAGCAAGAAGAAGCCTTGCGAGGTTGGCGTCGTCGTCTGCTGAGGAGGCCGCGCCGTCGTTCATGAACGCTGCATGTTGCTGCAAAGGGATCCACAGAGGATCACAAGCCGCGAGGCCTCGCAGCGGCAGCAGCAGCGGCTGCGAGCCCTGGAGGGGCGCCTGGAGGCCGAAAAAGCTCAAGTCTGACTTACTGGTTGGTTTCTTTTCCGGCTCTTTTTGAGGTGACGGGAAGGCCGTTGGCGTAGTTCATATGCATTTCCTTTCCCTTTTGAATTTGGCCTATACTACCCGACTACCCATTTTGCAAGGATGCGCTGGAGTCCCGGCTGTTGGCCTGGGAGGCAGCAGCCAAACCTGGCGATGCACAGAGGCCTGGAGAGACGGCGCTGGGGAAACCAAGTCTTCTGCAAAGAGTTTACGCCGGAATCTCTGGAAGGTTTTGGGTTTAGGGTTTATGGTTTAGGGTTTAGTTTAGGAGTCCGAAGCAAAAGATTCGCATCTCAGCATCTCCTGGAGCTTGGAGTGACAGGACACCGGAGACAGAGCCAGTGGCGCTCCATCTTCGGAGCCTAGGTCTGCTCTCCGCGCAAATTTGGGAATGGGTCAAGAAAACTCCACTACTTGGAGGTTCATGGCTAGTTATAAGTAGGGTAATACGTAGGGTAGCTATACTTATAGCCCCTATTAGGGGGCTTATAACCCCACTTATGACTACCCGAAAAAACCTCCAAGTAGGAGTTTTTGGTTGCGTAGCTTCGGGGCTCGGGGAAACCCGGAGGTCGGCGTCTCTGGGTCCAAGGGACACGTTGATTCTTTGTGGTGAAGGCTGAACCCTAAACCCTAAACCCTCAACGGCCCTGAAAACCCTATGCATCTTGTCTGCGGTTCCTAGGATCTTGGGTGGGCCTTCCGACTTTCCTCGCTTTGCCTTGTCAGTTGCCTCGCCTTTTCGAGCTGACGAGCGGCTTCTTGCAGAGCCGCTGGGAGGGCAGAGATGGTACTCGTAGTGTTCAAAGGACGCCCGGCTCAGTGCAGATCCTGAAGGGACCGCTCGGGCCGTTAGGCCATGTTTCTTTCTTGTGCGATCCGAGGCTTCGTCATGAAGTGGCCTCGGAGGCCAGACAGTGGTATTCGGGGTTGCCCTCGGGCTCATTCTGGTTTGCGTGGCTTTCGGACTTCAGGCCAAGGTTGTGTTTAGAGTTCGAAAAGAAGCGTCCCGACTAAAGCCGGCTCGAACTGCCATCTCCGAAGCAGAACGTTGCAATCCTGACATAATCTGACACATGCTTGTGGATTCACTCGAGCTGCACTCACAGGTTCAGGGGTAGAGCATCTTTTCTTGCGGCGATGGATTTCATCTGGGACGCGAGGAGTCGAGTGAAGCCGAATCTACAAGCGAGCTTCGGATACACCCAGCAGATCAGCAAGCGTTAAGCCTTAAGCTATCTGCAAGTCCGCGCCCTCCGGGGCTTGAGCTTGTTTTGGAAATCAAGCCTGGCATGACAAGTGCGGAAACAAGAGAACTTGTCGGTGAAGCGCCAGGTGTCGGCAGAAGTGCGGCTGCTGCGCACACAAATGGACGAGGCAGCAACGGCCAGAAAAGCTCTTCGCTGCATCGCCTGTGTTGCAGCAATGGAGGCGGACTGAAGTGGTTGACATGCTGGTTGTAAAACAAAATGACTCCGAGCACGTTGCGTGAACGGCCATGGTTGCCGACTATTCGTGAAGTTGCACACTTCGAAGCCAGGTCCATCGGCGGAGCGCCAGCACATTCAGCGAGAGTCTTAAGGGTTGGAGCTGTCGCGTTCAACCTTGCGAGGCTTTGCGACCGATAATCCTTCACCCTTGGAAGCTGCTGGGAGATGATGAAGCTAAGCCTTCACAAATGATTGCTGCAACTAGTGATGACTCGAGTTCAGGCCACGTATTGGATGATAAACATGTGGAGGACCATGACGAAACTGGACCACAGAGTGGGTTTCACTGATTTGACAGTCGGGTCAGACCTGCACCTCATTTACTCGGAGTAGCATCAGATTGGCTCGTGTCAAGGAAGCAAAGAACTACGGTGTTGCCAATGTATCGCTCACTTGGGAGGGAAACGAGCACCCGTGAGACCTGAGCTTTTGGGTCTTTACTAGGGTCATTTCTGGCGCCGAGGCGAGACATTGGAAGCTCGCGTCGCAGGCACGGCTCTTGCATCTCTGTACGGAGCCCTGGCGACCACGACAGGTCTTGCGGATGCAGTGGAGGAGCTCCGGACGCAGCTGGACGCCGGGGCCCTGTTGACTTTCCCTCCAAGGCTTCTGTGAGCGCGAATTTGTATCGTCGAGCAATCCAGTCTTAAGCGCTTTCCAACTCAAGGCAGTCACTTCTGAAGTAGGCCCGTCCTCAACACAACACAAGAAGTCCACAGACTTCCTGCAATTCCGGCGCCATCTGCCATGTCTGTTCCATTTCGGGGCTGTGAGCGTCGTTCGGCTAGAGGGGCTTAAGGTTTGGGGTTTCAGTGTCTAGGAGTTGTTTGAGCTCGAGGTATTGAGAGTTGAGACTGTTGGGTGAGGTTGGGATCTTAGACTCTCCAAACCTGCTCTGAACTCTGGTCTGTCCTGCGTGCATTTTTTTGGCTCCGGCACTAGATGGGGTTTCAACATTCACCCCGGGCTTTTCGACGCCGGTCTGGTGCCTTTCTGGCGTCCGCATGACTCGCACGTCACATGTGGTGCCAATGCCTACAAGCATGTCATGTCTGTGCAGCTGACATCTGTGCTGGGCCTGCTTGTGAGACTTGTCTAAGAAGGCCTGGCGTGTCGTGTTGTCCTGTTCTCTGGCCTTGACTGGGGTCTGGTGCCTTCGGAACCACCAACTGAGCCATGCTGCAACATGCAGAGCTCCTCAACGTGTCAAGTGGAACTCACTGAGGGCTTGAGGTGAGAAAACCGTGTCCCTTGAAGCACGTGGAGCAAAACCGAGGAGAGAAAAGCCCCGGCAGCACAGAATGCCGCTACATGCCACCCTCCTGCCAGACGGGCAGTAAAAGAGAAACCCCGGCACCAGAGGGTGCGGCTGTGCTGCCTCCTCAGCCGGGCGAAAGAATTGAAGAGAATTGATGAGAAGAAAGAATGACCTGCCAGACAGAGCCCTGTGACTGTGAGTGTCTGCCCCTGGCTGGTTGTGTGTTGTGCTTAGCAGCTTTGTTGAATATAAGGCGACAGAATGCACTCGAGTTTTGTGTCGAAAGGATGAGGAGTAGCGTAGCGCTCCGGCTCCCTTGCACCCTGCCATAGGCCATAGGCATGCTGAGATAACGTCTTTCTGGGCAGCATGCAGCCTGTCTTCCGCCAAGGCACCACCCAAGCAGCACGAGGATGAGCGCGACATGGCCCACTTGTCCGGAAGGTTTCAGTTTAGGAGATAAACTCGGGCTTGCGGCCTGTTTGCTGGATGGACGAACTTTCCTGACTCCTTGCTTTTCCTGTCGTTGCATGCAGAGTCAGGGAAGGATCATGCACAGCCGTGTCGAGCAGGACAGCGCTTGCAGTCCCATGTCACCGACGCGTCCAGGAGACTCTGAGGCGAGGCTCTTCGTTGCATCCTTCTAGTTCATGCTCAGGGATCTAGGACAGTTAGGACAAGAGATGTGGTCGTGATACTCTGCAGCATGCTGGATGCCCGCAAGCATGTACTTGCAGTGGATGCAATCGTGATGTAACTGAACATTGCAGGTCTGCAACTTCACTCCACTCGAGACGCCCTGTGAACTCACATTTACTCCACTAGTATGCGCAAGCTGCTCACCTCGGCAGCTTCAGGCCGCGGATCCGGCACCGGCTCAGGCCGTGTCGTCTCCATCCGGCGTTGGTGCCAAGGCGGTGCCTTGCTCACTCAAGTCAGGGCAAGGCAAAGCGATGCAAATAGTGCTGCGAAGATGACGTTGCAACCGTAGGCCAGACAGTGACAAAGAGACATGCACACAAGTCCTACTTCAACTCGGGACTGGACGGCCCGGCATGCCTCTTGCCATGTGCATGCTGCAATCACCCAGTTCGACCGCATGTGCACAGGTGGAAGTGCTCCAAGATTTCACTGCTGAGCTGCGCACCCTGGTGGAGGCCATGTGGCCAGAGCGGTAACGTCAGGGCCAGCGAGAGACTGTGACGAGTGATGTGTTACCGTGTCTTGATGAGTGATAACGATACCGATGGAATCGAGACTAGAACACCTCTGGGATCTCTGGGTTGTTTCCCAGCCTCTTTCGGGCTCGTTGTTGTGCTCTTTCTGAGTCTCGCTGACTCGCTCGTGTCAATCACTCTGATGAGTATCCGCGTTTCGGAAATGTTGAATGTCATTCCTTGGCAGCGGCCCAGAGGACGCCTGCTTCGGGATGCCCGCCAAGCGCTGCCGTGGCCAGCAAAGGTATGATTGAACTGAAACTGCTTGCTGCAGGAGCGCTTGCTGATTT